ACAAGTTCATCGCGATGAGTGCTTAGTTTTTAACCAGCTACATGGGCTTTAACTAGCAAATTTTTTTAATGCATTGATAAGTTATAATGTTGTTTCATATGCTAATACTGTTCAGCGTTGCAAATTATTTCATTTACACGTATTATGAGAACTACATAAATGTCATATTTTTGTGTGACGTCATAGTATACTTTTCCCGTATAAATTAGGCCCCGCCCCCTTATTCAAGCCTTAACAATGCTGCGCCGTCTTAGAAGTACCAAAACAAAAATTCATATATACTAGTATAAGGCCTTCTTTTTTATTTGTTTTTTTAACTTCACATAACTACCTGTATCATTTAGTATATTCAATACTTACAAGCTTAAGGTTCAATAATGTTACATGTAGTTATCTTGTAAATCTGATATTGTTTACAAAAGATCTTTTACATCTTCATTTCATATAAAGGTCTTAAAATAAAGAAAATAATTCTTAAATTTTGGAAGAGATTCTTTAGTTGAAATATTACGTAAAATTATAGGAATTTTTGTGAAACAGTGACAAGGGCTACTTAGGCTACATGTACCTCTTGGACTTTGGTTTCAATACTACCATCACATCCGTTCCTTCAATTTCAAAACAAGTACAACCAAAAAATAATAAATTATTTATTTATTTATTCATTTAATAAAACAAAAGAATTTTAAAAATATAACAATAATCTATTATTTTAGTAAACATTGCTACCTTCAGTAAATCAATAGCTAGAAGTCTACATCATATTCGCACCAAACTTTACTCTATCCTTTTGAAACTTTTACATAGTCTTCTTGAAAAGGTCAAGGAAAATCAATTTTTTGATTCCTCGACACCAGAATATAGGCTCAGATCTGTTATTATGAATATTGCAAATCATGTGCTTTTTAAACCCCTAACGTTTTCATGAAGAAAATGCAGCTGAAACAATCTGTCTTTTCCTTAACCTTCAATATATGTTAATAAAGGAATTGACGTGGTTAATATAAGTAAAATATGTTATATTCTTTATCACAAAAGGGCGCAGTCTTGTATTCCTACAAATATATATACATCGACCATTGCTTCAAAACTTTTTAATCACAAAAAACTTTACATGGCCTGGATACCGAGTATGTATCTAAAACATAATCCTCCATCGTATTCATGTTCATCTCCAACAAAAGCTAAAGTTTCGCCGGACAAGTTATTATAGGTGACGTAAATATAGTTAATAATGAGGATCACGTATTTTAAAAGGTCACAAAAATAGGGAACCACGATCCTTCAACTGGCGTCCGAATTTCATAAATATTATGGATTCCGTTGAAGATTACACCAGGCGATGGGCTAGATATGAAAAAAAAGACATTTTGTCGATCAGAATGGATTAAATGTATCAGAATAATCAGATCCATGATAAAATCGCGTATTAAAAGATTGAGGGCCAATATGAAAACCATCTATCCTTCTGTATTCAAAAATCCAGAAATGAAAAAAGAATTAGATAGATTACATGATAAATATGTACTGGTCCCTGTGATAAAGGAGGTAACAAAAATATCTTTGTAAGGATCATTATATAAATTGTATTTTAAAAAAACTCAGGTTTAGTTCTACAAGTGATAATCCAACTTATACTCTCATAGTTCGCTTTCTACGGAGAAAATTCTTCAAAATCATGTGTTAGTTTTGAGTAGTTTTAATATCCCAAAGAACCAAAATGATTTTGAACAACCATATATGTAATTTGGATTCAGAAACTTGATAAAAGTCCTTACAAACAAAGATACATTGTGGGTTCCAGTTAATGTTCGTCCAAGCTTCTTTCTTTACTCCTCACTGAGATATCAACAGTAGTGAAGGAGAAACTTCAAGAGTACTTGCATATACATATTCAAGAAGTGATGCAAATCAGATGTGGATACTTAAAAATTCCAAGGAACTTTTTGACAATTTGAAATCACAAGATTTTACCAAATCAACAGTTTAAAACTTACGACTTTTTTTTTTACTTTATACACAACCATTCCCCACAAAATAAAGTCCAGGCTTTTCGATATCATCGACAAAAAATAAAAATGTAACTCATAAATTTACTTACCTTGTCATTGGTCATTTGCATTTTTTGTTAAAACATTCTGATTGTACACACAAACACTGTGAAGTCGACATCAAAAAGATGCTTGAGTTTCGGACTGACAATATATATCTATGATGTATTTGGAGACCAGGTCTTCAAACAATCTATTGAAATTCTCATGGGTACAAATTGCACCCCGTTATTAGCGGAACTATAAGATAATAGAGAAGGTGGTCAGACTACAAAACTGGAAACCTCAAGATATCTGTTGTACCTCCTCTCGTGACCTTCTGGTAATCATGAAGAGTGATGATAACAAACAAACAAAAGTTGTCCGTTACTCAGTCTGAACAAAGAAACATGCAATTCATTCAGTTTGATGATTATGGTAGAATTTTTATTCATCAGATGATATTTACAGATACGAAACAGAGGACAGGAATCTGGATATCTGTGTGTCTGACTGTGGGGCTGATGCAGTACTGGTAGTCAACCAGTCCGGGAAACTGAGATTAAGGTACACTGGACATACTCCTGCTCCAAAGAACCAACCATTCAATCCACGAGAAATCACCACAGACAGACATAGTCACATCCTTACAGCTGATTGGAACAATGACTGTGTCCACATCATAGACCAGGATGGACAGTTCCTCCGTTACATTGACTGTGGACTGAGTGATCCCTGGGGTTTGTGTACAATTAAAATTACAAAATGTTTGTTAATCAACAGGGGAAATGTAAAGAATATCAAATACCTGTTGTAAAATGAAACAATATGTTGTATTTTATATAATAAAACAATGAGAAATATGCAATGGTTTTTAATTCAATAGTTATTTTATCTCTATCAAATACGAGTACTCAAAACACGATTTTGAATCTACAATAAAAATATAAATAATGTAATATTTTAAAAAAGCATCTTAACGAGGTTGGCTCCTGATATCTTTAGTCTTAAAATATTTTGTGAAGTATATTTTTAGTTTTCACACACATATACATGTAGCTTAATTCAAAATCAAATTAAAATATGGGGTCAATATGCTTTTTTGGTGCAACAGTACGTTCAGTATGATCTTTTTTGTACTTTTCGTGTCTTAATCAAAAGTTATATCTTCGACTTTTTCTCTCCAATATGTTTATTCAAAGAAAGCATGGAACAACTTAAACTGTTAGTCTATTCAAAAAGACACTTTAAAATTGTGACAAAGAAAAAGTATCGAATTGCTTCGCAAAATGAATTATTTGACCTTTCTGCACTCACAAAATGTTATTTTTCTGGCATTGAAAATTGAATAAGCAAATTAATTCAAAGTCTTAAACTTTTGCTGAATTTAATCAGATAGGTCAGAATTATCTTAAATATTCAGAAAAGAACATCAAAAGTGGGGTTCCATGATTTAAATGTTTAGATATTACCAATAAAGTCAATTTTGTGTTAAAAGTTTTTTCCTGGACTTTCAAAATAAACTTACTGTATTTGTCAAAATTCGTTGAAAGAATTCATAGAAATAATTTAATAGCTATATCAGAACCAGCATAACACATTACAACACATTTCATTGCAAAAAACAACTTTGTGTGCAACCAGCATGGAAAAATATGAATGTAAAATTAACAGTACTGTATTTAGTTCAAAAGGGAAAAAATGATCATTTTCTTCTGAAAAAAAACCTTTCCGCCACAACATGTACTTCCTGGATTAATCTTACTTGAATGGAATTTAACCGCTATTTCTTTTATCGAATATAGTTCAATTTGCATTGTAGAATCAAGATCAAAATTTGCTCAAAAGCTCAGGATCAAACCTCCTGAAATAATGTAATTCACAGCTAAAATTATAGTGGATATATTCCATAGTTGTGTAGAATAAAATCCCTTCTTTTAAGAACTATAGTATATGTTTTCTGACCATTCGAATATTGTAGTCTTTATTATTATTTTTGTTTTTGAAATATTTATCATATTCCATACACTGTATATAAGAAAATGTCTTGTCTTTACACAGATTTCTCCCGGAAAAAAATTACAGTGATTATGCTAGGTAAATTAAAATTATATTTACCAATATTTTTTTTCAAAATACTGCATGGAAAGCACAAGATAGAGTATTTCGTCAGAGAAAATTAATCTTTGATGTATTTTACTGTATTGCAATCAAATATACCTGATTATGTTACATATCATGGACATTAGTAGAAATGAGAATGAAGTTGAAAGTCAGAATTCCCAGTAAAACGGACTGCACAGGTGTCACAGAAATCAGTTTTTGCTGTAACATGTTATATAATAGAGCACTAATTATCAATCCATGGAATTCACATGGCAATATTTGTAAATAAGAACAAAAATATATATAATTTGCAATTTATTACAACACATATCATGTACAGCTTTAAAGTAACTGAATACATTCGATAAAGAAAATTAATAAAACTTTATTGCTGCTGTAAATTGTTCAATCACAAACTCCCCCTAAAATATAGAACTTTATGCGTGTTCTCGCTTATACAGTTCCCTGATAAAATAAATTGTAAATATTTTTTTTTCTCTTTTAATAGAAATGCTTGATGGGCGGTCGTCAATTTGCGTCAGGATCTCTCATTCTTCAAACATCCATCTGTTGAAAATAAAATAAAAGAATTAAATAACATTTCAGAAATATAAAAACGTACTTATACAAATCTTCCTATTCTGTAATAACCTTTTAAAATGTTTACACAAATACCGAAAAAGTAGATATTGCTTATAATATAGGGTTATTGAACTTATATTGGTGAATATTGGCACTAGTTGGCTGTACAAATGCACGAGCAAGCGTCAAGATAATGAACTCTAAAATTCTCTAGATTTTTGGTAGTATTTCATTAAAAACTATTTACCAGCTATACAATAAATTGAATTAATTTTGTTTACCTTAGTGACGTTTAATCATCATCACCGTCCCCCCGACTGATGACCCGTCCCTGACTGTTGGAAACCAGGGTCCGTACCAGTCTGCCTTGGCCCACTGACCATTGAGGAAGACGTGGTGGCAATTGTTAAACCACCAGCCTCCGTTATGAGCAGCAGCACAGTTAGCCTTAAGATGCTCGTCGTTATCCCTGTCTGGGGTGGAGAACGACATCCCAGATAGTTTGTAGTAACTCCCAGTGTCCAACATATAGTCACCTGTAGATGTAAGAAAATATATTACAGAGTTAATTGATTTATATCACATTTAATCTTACATCAATATTGAAGTATATCACAGTCAGATCAAGGCTGGTCGTGTTGTTTACTTTAATTAGAAATGATACAATACAACACATTTGTAAAGAATCTTTTCCAATGTACCACGTAACTTTATGCGTGTATAATTATAAAAAATAATTGTTTGGTAAAGGTAATATTGTTAAATAAATATACTGAGCAAAATTTGGCAATTGCTTTTCCGTATGTATGATTTAAAAATATTTTTCTTAATTGTTTTATAATTATGCTTCTTAAAAACAATACAGATAAAGATAACAAAAGACGGAGTTCTTTTCTTAATTTGACATGCAGAAACCGCTTCATCCAACGTTGTGACAATTCATAAAACAAAAGGTTACGCTCGAAATCACATGGTCCGGGAACAATTTTTAATTAGAAAAACATTCTGAACATGCTTGTAAAAGGAAACCGGTGAAAAACTGCGAAAACGTCTAATGGCAAAAACACCAAGACTTTCCAAAAATGAACGTTAAAAGACTATAGGGATGGTAACAATTGGATGCTCATAAAAAGATGTCGCTGAACACTTTTGCTTGCATCAGTCCACCAAGTATCGACTTGAGAACTGACTCCGAACGATTGAACACGCCAGCGCTTAGAACGTCCACGAAAAACGACGGTTAGCAATGATCGTTTAACTGTTGCAACGTCGAGACGTTACATTTTTATGGTTGCTCCTTAAGTTGCAGAAGAGTTATTCCGTTTTACTGGAGTGAGGTTATGCGGACAATTTGTAGGAAACAGGCCATTTTTCTAGCTCAAATACTTCTCTAAGCAATATCACTTACTCAACGTCATCAACAATCACGCATCGCAGGGGCAAACACAAATCGTCTTGGATTCAACAAAAATATTGCCTTTCCTTTGTTATAGAAGAAAATTTAACATTTCAAAAGCATTAAATTTATTGGTCTACTTTTTTTACTTGATATATTAAATATCCTTAATTGCTAAACTTATTTTGCTCAGTATATATTACAAATTAACATCTATTGGAATCTGCATTTACTATTAAAAAAAAACGACAGGTCCCCTTTTTTAGAACATCGCATTTTACTTCTCGCATAAAAACGTACTTTGCACAGATCGTGTTTTATATTCTAAAATATTTGCGTCTATCGTCTCCATCAATTAGACGCATGCCTTTTCACACATATCGAAGCGGTTTGACGATCAAGACTTATTTCCATTGTTTACTTTATATATATTTCCCGGGCGACAATTATTGGTTACATCAATGTTTTCTTGTTTCCCCTTGTTGTTCATACCCAAGGTTCCCATGGCGGGTCCTGCAAGAAAGAGTTGGTATTTTCCTGCTTCATCGGAGACAGAGAATCCATTGTACATTTCATACAGCGTTGTTCCATTTTGAAGAGTGATGAAGATATAAAGGGATGAGTTGTTTTCTTTTGTTAACTGATGCATGACGTCATTTCCTATGCAAATGTACATTCAAAAGTAAAATTCAGTGCATTCCATTACAATAACTATTGATTATGAAGCAGGTATAGCCCAATGAAAATTAAGATAACAATAGGAGGATTTTTGTAGGTGCAGATATTTATTATCTTCACCTTCACTATACATATCACAAAAACCTATTCAGGAATGATCAAGTCGCTGAAATATACATTTCTATTTTAAATTAATTAAATTATTTCATTAATCTATCTTTGCACTGCTAAAAAAGAACAAGATCGATCAAAACAAAGAGACCCATTCTTCAATTTAATCATTTGATTCACTTTCAAATTTGAAAAGTTAACAAAGATAATTGGCTAAACTTGGAACAAATTAAAGCCCAGTTTATATTTACCAATCCAAACATTCTTCTGAGAATCACCAAAACCATTTTTATAGTCTGTCCAATTCCTGTCAAAGCTCAGGGATCCGTCGATTCGTTTTTGAATTACCTTGGAAAGAAGTTGTACATTTATTTTGCAAGTTTTCTTTTTGTATAGATTTATTAGGTTATCAAAGTGAGGGGCATTTGTAAGATTTATGTGTAATGAATAATAACTACAAGAAATTGTTTTGCGCTTGATGTAATTTACCTGTATAATCAAAAACGTCTCACTAACTTACTATAGCTTTATCAAGCTTTTTAAATGTTTGTTTTTACCGTAATACTAATGACTGGACTGTTTTCGTTGTTTAATGAAAAAGTACACTTACCAATGGGTCTATAAATCAATTGATATAGTTAATACAATGTGATGAATAATTCTTTAAATAAATTTTAAACAATGCAAATAAAAATAGAATTAAAATTGATGACGCTGCATTCATGTAAATTAGTAAGAATAATGTAGTGACGATACAAAATGTTCAACAAGTCAATTCGTTATTTACATACATATTTTGTTTTAAGTCCAGCAAAGTCAAAGTTATAAAGGTTTATGTAATATGTAATAAATGAGGTTTTAGTCATTAGTAAGTAAAAGTAGACGAAACACTCCGCAGTCAAATTCAGTATAAAAACAAAGTCCAGTTAATTGGTATGTAACAAGTCCGCCGAAAAAGACTTATGATAGGTAATATTTTAACAAAGTCATTACAACGACCATAGAGTTCACGAAATGTTGACTTTTACAAGGTTGTTGAAATCTCCCTGTAACATAAACTTATCCCTCAGTGGTCTGACTCAGTTTAAATCAAAGTACTGAAAGTACTAATCAAGGTGAAATTTTCCATGTAACATTAACTTATCTCTCAGTGGTCTGTCTCAGTTTAAAAATTGATTGTACTCATAGCAAGCTTTTTAGTACCGCATAAGTTTAAGCAGGGTATAGAGAAATATTACGACATATATGAGAAGAGTTAACTATGGAACAAACTCTCAACTCTTTGAATAAAGAACCATATACATATCATATTAATATCATCTTCACAAATCCAAAAGTCCGATGTTTAAACTTTTGACTAATTCAAAAACTTACCGTCCAGCCTCCTCTCATTTTCGTCATTTCGCAGAAAACTTTGACAGGAATGGACTTTGTACGGTATGGGAAGATATCGTACACACTTGATTTATGATAACCATTATCAAAAAGATCTTTACAATCGAAAGGAAGAACTGAAACGAAACAAAATTTAGATTTAAGACAATAATGGACAAATATATAAATGAGACTGAGACGAAAGCAATCGTTGGTGCTTACAGAGGTTAAGGAAAATTCAGTATATCATGTGTTTTCTCTATTACATATTGATGATAACATTTTCAGGTTGTTAGCAAAAAGGAACCCAACTTTGTCGTTAGCTTTGTCCTTTAAATGTTTAAACCGATTTAGAAAAAAAAATTCATGGACAAATTCAAAGCAATGGGTATTTTTGTTTTTACAATGCAAGTAAATGATAAGGATTTTTTATATAACAAATAGCTTTTATTACATGTATCTGAAACTTTGTCAAAATAGAAACTCTTAAAGTGAAGTCGGCGTTTATTCCAATTTTCATGTATATTAGTTTCTACTTCATTATTTGATAAATTTACATTCTGAGCTAAACTAATATCAAAAGAATTTTTTTTGAAATATTTGAAAATATGTCTGATCTGGAGTTTTTTTCCAAATCATTTTCTTAAAAATGCTAAATAATTAAATATATCAGTCAATTATCTTTAAAATACAGCATTAATGAAACTACATCAAATAACATGAAATTAACCTTTTAAACCTACTACAGTGAAAGATATTGAGTGTGCTAGGAAAACTGATGTACAATATATACTGGTTTGTGCGATTTTTGTCTGAAGAACAAAATAAATACTTAAGAAATAAGGTATCATTTTTAAACATCTATCGAGATATAAATACGGGTCGGTCACGAGATTAAATTCCATAAAGCCCGAAGGGCTTTATGATGAATTTAATCTCGTACCGACCCGTATTTATAGCCCGATAGATGTTTTAAAATGATACCTTATTACTTATATTTACATTTGTGACTTATTCATACTTTATATTTGCCTGATTGTGACTTTTAACGTGTGAAATGCGTTATTTTTCAAACCCAACGGCATGTATGTAATCCACTGAACGCGCGTCGACCCTTTATGACGTCACAGAGAAATCACGTCGAACGTTTATCTTTACGTACATTTATGACCTCTTGACCCCGTACCTGTATTTATACAGTTATAGATACGCATTGTTTTCAGTAGTGTTATATAAAGGAAAACATTTGCAAATGTAAATATTAATACATACAATCCGGAAAGTAATATCTCCATCCGGTTTCTTCAGACATTCCGGAAGTGAAGATCTTCTTGTGGATCCGGCACTTCTTATCCTTAGAATTGTACCCGAAGAAACTACAATCTTTCTGACACATAGCACCACACTCACTTAACGAATGAGCATCGTGTTTTCTTACAAGTTCGCTTTCTGACTTTTTATCATCGAATGCCAGTTTAGCGGTATATCTCCAGGAAAAATCGGTAGCACGAGAAACGGTAAAGAGAGCTACAATAAAACAAACAAGGCAAAGATTGCTCATGTTGTACCTTGTATTGAGAACCCTTCTGAAAGAGTTTATAATTGCTATTTTACCTGCCAAGTATAAATAGGCAAAAATATAATATTACTGAAAAATGATTGGCTAGTTACCATGTCTTCAATTTTGTTTAATCATCGATTTTGTTTCATTCATATGAATTTTATATGAAATTCACTGTATATACTGTTTGCAGTTTTAACTACAAATAGCCAATGAAATGAATTTTGTTTCTTATGCATATTTCATTATTTCATCTTTTCCCTGAACAGCTGATATTTATTTTTCAAACTAAAAAAGTGCTCAAAATCCCTGGTATTTTTTTTTTTACTATTTACAATAACTCAGTTTTGATCATATTAATGTAAAGCTATTAAAGTATTAAGTACAGTTTTAAATAAGTCTAAATGCATAGTGTATATCAAAACAATATCAGCAGTTCTTTAACATTCTTTTTGACTACTTGGGATACAGTTTTTACTACATAACTCTCATTATTTGAATGAAATTACATGAATTTTTGTCTTGTTTCAGTTTTACTCTGCGAACGTTATATCAAAAAGTATGACGTCATGGTTTTTTAAAATTTGTTTTTTGACCTGTATGGAGCAATTTTATATTTTATTATTTCTCGGCCCCATTTCTTCTACAAGAATTTGGATCAGAAAATTATACGGGGACATTCTTCCCCGATAGATGTAATGACAATGTTAATAGTGTTGGAAATCTTTCCAGTGCACAGTGTAACAAATATATTGTAATTTGACTATTAAACATACACACCAGAAATACAGAGTCGTAGGTGTAGTCATTGGCATCGGTCTTGCAATAAATCTCTAATACACGATGTATCTTTTGTTCATAGCTTCCCTCTGTAAATCAACTGTTAGGTCTACATCGTATTCGTACACCAAACTTTACTCTGTCCCTTTGAAACTTTTAAATAATCTTGAAAAGGCCAAGGAAAGTCCAAATTTTGATTCCTCGTCACCAGAATATAGGCTCGGATCTGTGATTATGGACATTGCTAATCATAGGCTATTTAAACCCACACGTTTAAGGGGGATGTACACGCCATATTGATCAAGTCTGGTGTAAAATAAGAAATGCCAAGAATGCACTTTATACTCTTCTAAATTAGCCCAAAGTTAGTCAAATGCTAATGCACTCATTACCTACTGTTAGAGACCAAAATTAGTAAATAATTAAGTTTATTTTGTTTTCACTAGGAGGAAATTAATCACGTTAGAACTGCACAGCTACAGCATTCACGAGATGACAAATGCATCGAAAATGATGTCGGTTCGATTTATTAATAGTATGGCTACAACCATTTGTTTCGTTTTTTTCTTGTAATTATCCCGAATTCTTGAAAATTTGATTTTTCATATGGGGATCTTCCTGAGGCCATGTGTTTATGCCGTCCGCCCTTCCTCTGTCTCACAGAGTTCGAATAACATTGGTTTTAGAATAAATGCGACCATAATAACACCAAGACAAGAAATTACTAAGTAATAATTATTAGATTATATAACTTACTACTTTTATTTGCTGCATCACATCGTCTGATGAATGAAAAAACGCGATTTTAATCCCACTCCAGCAAATCGGGAGAAACTGATCTGTTTATCATGTTTATAGCTCGAGTTTCCTCGTGAATATCATTCCACATTTGCACGTGGTTGGCATGTGCATATATCTGCTGTGAAATGATACGTTTATTACCATGATTATATTTAAATTTTCATGGAACAAGTCTTGATAATTTGTAGGTTCCTTTAAAACTCAAGAAAAAAAATAAAAAACGTCCTAAACATATCTGTTTACGGCGGGTCTCTTTTCTGAGGCGATAGAAGTTCTTTTCAAATGGGACACTGCAAGGAGGATGCTTAGCATTAAATTTGAAAATGGCAAAAAAAGAGTGTGTGCGAGCCCCCCCCCCCCCCCCTTCCCCGGAAAATCCTTTGTTCAAAATAGTGCCAAACTTTCAAATATTTTGCATTACAATGTATGTGGTGGAACATGTGCTAGCCTTATGAGAACACTTGTTATAAATAAAAATTTGGTTGCACTCTCTCCCGCCCTACTGCCTAGAAATGCCCGACTCAATTCATTGTTTATATCCCATTGATTACACGACTTTTTTTCTTCCGTCGACCATGTGTTTAAATTTTCAGGAAAATTTTTTTCACCTGTAAATACGGACCAAATAATTTTTCCATAGCCTGAGTTTAGAGGACCATCAAACGTCATTTTAAAGATTGGTCTAAAATATTGAATTACATACGTATGTTAATTTTTTTTCTTTGAAATTGTAATTCTGACAGTATGCAAAAATAGAAAAAATATTTAAAATATACCATAAATATAACAGTCGTTTGTTGTACAAGTTCCACAGAGACAACCATTTTTCGCCACAATTGACCTGCATAGTGACGTCATTTTCACATTGTGCCGTCATAAACAAGGAGCAAAACTTTATTCAGCATAAGCTGTTAATAGAACTTGTATATGGCTCTGTGTGTTCCAAATTTGTTTTTTAATCTGAACTGTGGTTTTGTAGATATAGAGATAGTTCGCGAACGTTTTGATCACCCCTCGTACTATTAGGTACTAAAACAAGGTCATTAATATCGATTTTATGTTTCTAATTTTCTTAGTGTTTCATAAGTGATAATTAAAATTTTGATAGATAATATACGTTATCTGTAGCAGACTTACAAACTCTTAATTTTTAACTTTGTTGGTACTACTTTTTCCTTACCTGGAATCAAAGAGTTTAAGATCTTTTCTTATATCAATACGTACACTATTTAACAACTGTTCGATAATAATAGTAAATAAATTACTTTAAGCTACATTATAAAACACTTTATCTTTTAAAGTTTTCAAATTTTTTGAAATATTTTGCAACTGTAATTCTCTTCTACATTTAAAGATTGTTATGTCGCTCCATATTAAGAAGAGGTCTGGAAAACAACATTCTTTGCTAAAAATAGACCACGTGCTGCTATCCATGAACTACTTTCATAGTTCTCTACATTCATTTTGAAGAAAATGGTACCTTGTTTTGAGCTTGAAATTATCATTTAAAAATGAAAAATTTAGACATTATCTCAACAAATGATTGTAGAGAGAACAGTGTAGAGAGCACTGTTTGCATATTTTTTTGGATTTTTTAAGGTTCTGCTGAATTCTGTAGCTGTGCAGTTCTAAGGAGCACATCAAAAGCATTTTTCTGCAAAAGTATAGATTATATATGCAAAACATGCATTCAGTTATGCATATTTACTGTATCTTTATCATAAAGACTTAAAATTTGATCAAAATATAATGAATTTTAGCCATTTGAAGAAATGTTTACATTTTGTTTACACTGCACTAAAGGTGGCCGTACATCCCCCTTAACTGACGAAAATGCACTAAAACCGTCTTTTCCTTAAACTTCAGTATGCCAATAAAGGAATTAACGCGGTTAATATAAATAATATTCTTAATCACGTTAGGGTCCCGTCATGTATTCCATCATATTTCAAATTAAAGTTTACATATTGTATTTTCTAAATACATCCACCGACCATTGCTTCCAAACCTTTAAATACGAACAAATTTTACATTGCCTGAGCATCGAGTATCTGAAACATAATCCTCCATCGTTTTCATATTCATCTTCGTCCTATAACTATAGCCCTGTTGGACATGTTATTACAGGTGACATAAATATAGTTATTAATGATCAGATGACCATATATCACTTATTTTTAAAGGTCTTTAATACAGGAAACACGGTACTTCACCTGGCGTCGGAAGTTCACAATTACTAGTATTATGGATTCTGTTGAGGATGACGCCAGACGATGTACCATATATGAAAACGAAGACGTTGACACTTTGTCAGAATGGATTAATTGTGTCAGATCAATTTTAAAATTGCGTATAAAAAGATTGAGGGGTAATATGAAAACCATGTATTCCTCTGTGAAAAAAGAATTAGTTAGATTACATGATCAGTACTAACTGGTCCCTGCTAACAAAGCAGGCAACAGTAATGTTTTGTTTTTAAGGCTCCCTAATATAAAACTTGAATTAAGAAGAACTTGGATTTAATCTACAAGTGGTAATACAACTTATACTCGTAATTCCCTTTCAAAAGGAAATTCTTCAAAATCATATGTCAGCTTTAATATCTCAAAGGAACAAAATGAAATTGTGATACAGTATCATATATATACTGGATTCTGAATCTTCATAAGAATCCTTACAAATAAAAAAACATTACAGGTTCAAGTTATTTTTCAACCAAGCCTATTCTTTACTCCCCATTAAGATACTGACAGCAATGAAGGAAAAACTTCAAGAGTACTTAGCGACAATATATTCAAGAAGTGGTGTAAATCAGATGCGGATACACAAAATTCCATGGAACTTTTGAACAATTTGAAATTACAAGAATTTACCATAATCAACAGCTTAAACACTCACGACTTTTCAACTTTATACACAACATACTATATGATAAATTAAAGTCCAGGCTTTTTCATATCATTAACAGCTGCTTTTTTTTCAATAAAAATGGAACTCGTAAATTTACTTACCTGGTCATTGGTCATCTGCAAAATTATTTTGTTAAAACACATTTTGATTGCACAGACACACATACAAAACTACTCTGAAGATGACATAAAAAGATGCTTAAATTTCTGATTGGATTGACAATATGCATATTGTTTTTTGGAGACCAGGTTTTCCAACAATCTATTACAATCCCCATGAGTACCAATTAAACTCCATTAGTTGCAGACATATTTTTATATTCATATGAAGCAGTATTTGTGCTAAATCGTAAGCACGATAAAAAAAAAAACACTTGTTGTGGCCTTCAACTCGACATTTACATATATCGACGAAATATTGTCAATTAAAAATAGTTAATTCCACACATATGTGGATAAGATACATGTATTTCTTGGTAAGCTTGAGATAAAAAAAAATACCACGGATTCTGACACATCTGTTTTATACTTGGATATTTTACTTTAAAAAGTCGTTGATGGTTTAATCTAACAACCAAGCTCTAAAATAAACATGATCACTTTAATTTTTCTATCGTCAACGCCCCTTATGTATGCGGCAATATACATGTACCATCATCACCTGCATACAGAGTGTATATATATATCTCAGTTGATTCGATATGCAGGAGCTTGCTCTACGTATGAACAATTTCTAAAAAGAGATATGCTTGACAAACACGTTGATGAAAGAAGAATATCAGCAGTCTCATTTAAAGTCATAATTTCGTAAGTTCTATGGTCGATACAATGACCTTGTCAGTAAATTCAATTCATCATTGAGTCAAATGCTGACTGACGTTTTTCATATTTATACACTGAATTGCAGACGTTATTTCCTGATCACGGTAAGAGGCACACGCGTCGGGTGTGACCGGTCGATAGGGGATGCTCACTCCTCCATGGCACCTGATCCCACCTCTGATGTTTTGGAGTTCCGTGTTTGCTATGCTCTTATTTTGTAAGTATTGTTTTGTGTACTTTAACATTGAATAGTTAGTACTGTACGCCATCTCTAAATCTTTCACTAAAATATTAGCAGCAGTGAATGAAAAAAAAAATTCAGGCGTACTTTACAACAATTTAACCAAAAACTGGTGTACATCAGATCTATGTGGATAATCACTTTTCTAAGGAACAGTTTCAAAATTTGAAACCACAAAATTTTAAAAGAAAAAAGACAAAAAAACATTTAAAGCTGCTTTTTCAAAATAAACGGCAATAGTAAACTTACCTTGCAGTTTGTTAAATTGGTAAACATTTGGTAATTTGGAACATTTTTTTTTAATTCGTTTATTAAACAAAAGTACACCAAAATTGATATTAAAAAGGTTCTTAAGTTTCCATTTGACAATACCTACTTGGTTTTTAGAGACCACGTATTCCAACGACATTTAGATACTATATCAATTAACACGGGTCATTTTCATTCCTATGTCGATATCATTTATTCCAATGAGGTTAACATAAAAGATTCTAGGTAGTCTACGTTATCTGTTTCATATTTGGATATCTAACTAGAGAAGAATGTCAATGGTAATCTAACAATCAAGCTGATAAATTTGATGACTTTAAATTTCCAATAGTCAACTTCCCTTACTTACTCAAAATACCCTTTTCACCTTCTGAAGGCGTTTATATCTTTCAGTTTGATTCGAAATGCAAGAGCATCCTCTACGTTTGAACAATTTCTAAAACAAGGTACAGTGTAATTCATTTTCAAACAAGTTAATCGTGATCAAGAATATCAGCAGTCTCGTTTAAAGACATCATATCGGGGATATTTAAAATCAATTGTACAATGTGCAGTCTTAAGATTCTCAGATTTAGTATAAACCAATACATGTAACGTAGTTATTCGAAGAATTAAATGAATGTAAAGTTTCTATAATAGAGATACATTTGAAGGTTCCTCTACCGATTCCATGTCTTAGATTTCTAAACGAAAACTATCACTTCTTTTACTAGTAATCTTACTAGACAGAATTTCTTAAAAAACGTGAGAAAATATAAACTCCTAATCTCCTAATGCTGTCTTTGGAATTATAGAACGTAATCTGTGTGGACTTGTTTATGTTAATGAAACTAAGGGTTTACTTAATAACAGAATTTCATTTCATTATACCCCTTGGTCTTAGAAATTCCTTTGCAGAGGCTGCACATACTGAAATTAAATTTAGTATACAGATTTATAAGTTGAATATTTAAGTCAAGTTCAGTTTTGAATACCATCGCACCATTTTCAATGACAGAGTTATGCCGTTTTTGACTTGGAAAAATTTGAGGGCAGGGGGAATAAGTGTTTTACAAACATCTTTTGTGTATTTGACGAATGCATCAATAAATAATCTCTCTATATAACAATCCATCATTAGATACACATAAATAAACGATATATCTCAAAAAGACATTTTTCAAAAAAATAAATCGTATTAGTTATTTTTACACCAGTGCGCTAAGGATGCAGCATTTGATAAAAACTCCCACTTAAAATATAACATTACAGGAAACTAATGTATATATTGATTATGACATAACATTTTTTTGGTGGGGTTATTCTATGGGTCTTAGGTAAATATTTCAACTGCGTAGAGAAATAAGAATTTTTCAGTAGGAGTTTATATGAAATGCTGGTCCCCTAGCACTAAGGTGTAGGCATAACGAATACGATTTGTTTTTGGAAAATATTATGTTGAAACATATCGTTTCCTTTTGCGTATCCTGTGATTGGCTTATGTAGACAGGGTATTTGATGACGCATTCGTCAAATACAATATTAAACTCATTTATTTAAATAAGATGAATTATAAAAAAGACAGAGAAAGAACTATTATGTCTCCGCGTCATGATGATGAATAAGATTTGGGTTTCAATATATTAATAACTATCATCTTTTTCCATAGTTATTTCATTTCTTTGTGCAGATGAAATATTTACCTAAAACAAATAGAATTGTCCAAAAAAAGAAAATGTTATTTGATATACTAGTTTACTTTCCTGTAATTTATATTCATTCATCAAATTAATTATTGGTCAGGTAAATTCATTAGTCACTATTTTAAATTCATTTATAGACAGAACAATTGTAAGAAAGATAGAGGAAAAACAATGACTTAGTCATTGCAAACATCCTCCATAATCAAACATTCTGCAAAAAGTGTCGACTCTGCATTATAACGATTCTGTCATTAAATAAAAAAAAATTCATAAAACACCATTAAAACTCAACTTAAGGATACTAATTCAGATAAGTGGTTCCATAAAAATTCTTTCTCCCTCGTTTGTTTTGGGTCTTGTTTAGCCATGGTAAAAATGAATTTTAAATGAAGACAATTAAAAACTTTGATTAAAAAAGATCAAGGTATACTCATCTATACCTTATTTAAACCTTGAACTCCTGGTGGGTACGTGTGAATAATCTACAGTGAATACTTAATATTTCTTTTATGAAATTAATTTCACCTTTGGTTCTAGAGGGGTCAGTATATTTGTTGATCGAATTAACGATTCTAGCGTCGTCTAGGAACCTGATTCTATATCTGTAGTATTTTTTTCAGAGCTAACGATTCTAGGAACTTGACTCGGCCTTTTATATTCCAAGGGTAAGTATTTGTAATGGGCAAAAAATTCTATGAGCATAACATTAGCATTGCATTGACCTGACTTCTTTTCAGAGTTCTGAGCTTATAGAGCTTCTAATAAACTATTAATTTCAATGAGAATCATTTTTGGCATTTTCTTTTTATTTATAAAACACGAAATTATATAAATACAATATTTCAATGTCTCAGTTCTTTAACACGTGCGATGATGATTTGAAACTTCTCCTCCATTTTGTTGACTAGTTCCCTGAGGTCTTCAGAAGGTATGGAGTCAGAGATAGGGTCTGTCTGAGTCAGCTCTAAAACAGAAAGTAGACAGATAGTAAACAAACAAAAAGTAGGCACAAGGTTTTTTTTTAAATATGATTATAAAGCATATTGTATCACATACAGAGAAAGCACCAAAATATTATAATTTTTCAAAAGAATCTGTTATGAGATCATGGGCGCTTTGATTATCTAGTAAACAAAGTGACAATAGTTTTCCTCTTTGATGGGGGTAGGGGAAAATAGTTAATAAGATCTTAAAAGCATGAGATTTATGAAGTCTCACCTTTTTTTGGGCAGGACGAGAGGGGAATGGGGTAATAGGGGATTCGATAAATTATCTTGTTCTAATTTCCACAAACCTTGATTTTGGCCTGTACACTTTTTAGCATCATTTTAGCTGACTGGAGAAGAGGCAGTGATTCCTCTGTAGCTTTACTGCTGAATCCTAGATACACTGTTTAGAAGAAGGGCAAAGGAATAAAAAAAAAAATAGGTCAATTTTCATTTAAATGCTTATTTTTATTTGTTAACATTGTGAACTTAAAAAAATGTTCTACGGATTAGTACAGGTGTAGAGAGGAAAATATTTTATCTCAAGCTAACACTTATAGGGATGCAATTTAATGTATACTACTCTCATCTCTTAAACTCACAATCAGCTAGTTCCAATGACTGCTCCCCAACACTTTTACATTTGTCTAATGACTTCTCCCAGTTCATTTCCTGTGTCAAACATCTTTGTGATTTTTGAAGATACTGCAAGACCTTAAAAAAAGTTTGAATAAAAGAGTTACATTAATTTTATTGTAGTAAATCTGTTCATTCAACAAAGAGTTCCATTAATTCAATTTTATATATAAATATTTTAAAATCCTTATTATTTTTAGCATGGGTAGAAGGTAATTAGTAGTGTTGTAGAACCTTTTGTTGTGTTTCAGGAGTCTGGGTCTCCAAACTGTTTGTCAGCTCAGCATACAACCTCCATATCTCCCCATTACTTGGCACCTGTCCAAATTAATTCATGTAATGATCTTCACTTATTTTGAACTCTTTAAACAATTTTATCCAAAATGGAAGAAAAGGAAATCAAGATAAATCCAATGGTCCAAAATCAGATTGCAATTTGTCCATTTTCAAAGAAGTATAAAAGACAATTTGATTGCTATATATATTTTGAGGTTGTTGTTGTTGATAGATTCTTTATGTTTTAGATGAAGCCAATTCCCTTACTTTTGCTGTAATTCTACCAAACAGTTCCAGTAGCCTGGTTTTATACTGACTGATAGGATTCCCCTGAGGACTACTGTATTCCCCTGTAACACCCTTCACTAGAACGGCCAGAACCTGTAAAGCAGTAATGTGAAGAGAAAAAAAATGAACCAATTTATATCCAATTCTATACAACTCCCAGACTCTTCAGAGCAGAAATAAGCACAGAAAATTTTACAAATTACTCACTCAGTAAGAGGTACTATTATACCAACTGAATAAGGTAAAGAAATTGTACAGTTAAATATTTTATTCACAATTCATGAATTAGATATCATCAATCCACGTTATTACTTTTGTGACTCAGGCAATATTCTACACAAATACACAATTCATAAATAGTTCACACCTACAGATGTTAGCAATAAAAGAAGATTTTGAAAATTTTCTCCCATCCAAATAAGATTCACATAAAACATGTTGACAATTTTATGACTCAAACAAACTGTGAAAACTCAATTCGCACCTCTACATCCGTCCATTTTTCTTTAAGATCCATCAGGCGATGATATGCCCGTATGGCTTCATCAAACTCACCACAGTCTGTAGCAACCTTTGATTTAAGAAACATAATTCATAAAAAAAAGCTTTTATATTTAAACAACATGAATTTCAAAACTGTTAAGTTACACATCTTTCGATTAAACCTAGAAACATTGTACATGTACATGCATATATTCATAAATGTTAGCAATTTTTTCTTATCTTATTTTTATAAAAAATTTAACATGAAACATATCGCATTCATAAATGTCGAGTTCTTTTTTAAAAATAAAGATAGGTAAATTAAAGTAAATTTTCCCACACTCTCCAGTTTTCATAGTTGCATTTTATGGACTCTTTTAAGGTAAGTAGTGTTTTTTTCCTGGGAACAAAAAGTTGAATAGAACAATTTTAAAATTTATAAATTAAAATGAAGTTACTTATTGCTTACTATAAAAGCAACGACACATTCTATACTGCGTGGGTTTTTTTTCTTACTTGTCTATGAGTTGAACATAAGCTGATGCCATATTATTCCAGGCTTCAAAATTCTGAAATTCGTTACAGGTAGAAAAGTATTAAAATATTATCTTTAACTCTGTATATGGAAATTAAAAGATAATTGAAATAAACCTAATGCTGAGAAGGAAATTGGTCATTCAAAAGACATATAAAAAGATTTCTACAATGAATTAATTTGCGAAACTGACAAAATGCTTAATCTATCCGTACTTAAAGTTATTATTTTTACAGTGTATTTCTCATTCTCTTTTATTTTGACAAACTTAAATCAGTGTCAATGTTGACACATCGTTTGGAAGCTCTCACAGCTTCCTCAGACTTCTTGGATGCCATGCAGGCACAGCCGAGAGTGAACCACACGGGCACCAGTGAAATAAAACAGGGAGTCAGTTGTTGTAAATATAGTTGTATTGTTGCTTTTTCTAAAAGCTTATGTTTGAAAATTTTAAACTTCTTAAATATTAACATACATTAAAATCACAATGTTGTACTTATTACTGCTACATTTGTTAAGAGACCAGAATTAGTGGATATTTTCACAAAATATCTTTGATATCATTTAAAATTAATTAATCTCTTCATAACACCAAGAAGATCCAAAATCATCCATTTTCATCTGAATTTTAATTTTTCTTCAGTAGAGGGAAATTAGTTCATCATTGACCTGTAGTGAGTTGATGCTTAGAGATTTCTGGAAACACTCAATACAATTCTCATACTGTAATAGAAAAAAATTTCACTTAATGTTGTCTCATATTTCATTGATATAGTAATGCAAAGGATGTAAAATACATAACATCACTTATACATATTAGCTCTTGCCTCTTCCTGTACCATACGGATGAATCAATCAATCAATTAATCAATCAATCAATTAATAATTCAAACATATTGCTAACCACTCTTTACCTGTGCCACTAAGATTAATAAATCAAAATATTAATAAATCATATCACGTAGCTTCCCCCCTTTACCTCTTCCTGTGCCATATACAGGTATCCCGTACACCTCTGTGACCGCGCGTGTTTGTGTCCAGACATTCCTCAGGCCTTAATGTAGTGATTAATGTCACGTGTCACATCACCAAGGAAACACAAGTTTGGAGACTCCTGTATTGCCAGCTGATCACGAATCAAAGTCTCAGCCTGATAGAAAAAAAACCAGAAGTGTCTTTCGAGACTGTAGCTCTACTGCATATACTGGTTTGTACTTACATAAAAGGATGAGAAAAGAAGCCATTGCCATCATACCAAAACTGTATATTTCAAAGACGTTTCTATCAACAACGTTTATCGAAATAAAAAAAACAATGCACTATTATATGTATCTTAGTGTAGTCTGTTGGTGTTCCAAATTATATTAAAATCAAACAAAAATTGTAGGAGGAGTAGCGTTTTAAAGGAATTTCACAGAAAATTCTATTTTTAGTAACCACAGCAACAAAATTCACCGAAATCAAAAACCTATGGACTATTCTATGTATCTTAGTTTAAGTCTACTTGTGTGCCAAGTTATATTGAAATCAGACCAAAACTGTAGAAGGTGTAGCATTTTAAAGGAATTTCACAGAAAATTCGATTTTTAGTAACCTTTGTAATTATGTTCATAGAAATCAAAAACTGATACACTATTCTATGTATTTTAGTGTAGTCTACTTGTGTGCCAAGTTATATTGAAATCTGACGAAGGAGTAGAAGCGTTTTAAAGG